CTGCTGTATTGCATGTCGCAGCAGTCGCACGAGTCAGGCAGACAAAAGAGTTCAGTAGGCCACTGACTCCAGCTCCCCTGTCTGACACAAGAGCAGTCAAAGTAAGTAAAGTTTTATTTATACAGCACCTTTCATAGAAATAGATTCACAAGGTGCTGTACAATCAGAGGCAAATCAAAATCTATACAATCAGAACAGGATATACAAAAATTAGGAACAAAACAGTATAAAAGCTGTACAACCATCAAAGTATCAAGACTGTGCAGTCCAAAAATAAAACAAGTAATAATATCTAGACAAAAATGTGGAGGGCAGAGTAAAACATTAACATATTAAGATGAAGGAATTTTAAATCAATTTAATTTGGAGGCAGGTCTCTGAATGGGTCGACTGTGGAGTACTGGTACATTGGATGAAAGTACTGTCTGACATATATTAATACGATGAATTGTCCGGTCAGCAGGTAGGGTTTGGTGAAACAGACACTAAAAGGTCAGGCTGCAGAAAAATGCTGAAATTAGTTAAAAGCTTGTTTAAAGAGGTGTGTTTTCAGACATTTCTTGAATGAATCAATGCTTTCAAGCGTTCAGATGGACAGGAAGTTCATTCCAGAGCCTGGGGGCCCTGGAGGAGACGGCTCGGTCCCCACGGGTCTTGAGACGTGTGAGGGGAACCATCAGGGGATGTTGGTCCTGTGAGCGGAGGCTGTGTTTGGGCTTGTAAGGGGAGATGAGACTTAACAGTAATGGAGGTATGAACAAATGTGAGCCAGGACATCAATTAGCCAAATTCCATCATCATAAAGTGTTGTGTTATTTCACATTTATAATCCTAAATGGTCGTGTTTGCCAAGATCCATCACATAAATCCAGATTTAAGCTCTGAATATCTGTCCAGTCACTCCTAAAGCCTGGTTGGAGTGCAGTTTAGCAGCAGCAGCATCCAGGAGGAGGAGGAGGAGCAGGGGGGGAGAACTGCCTCCTCTTCCTCTCTCATTAATGACCAATCAGTTAAAAACTTTATTGGTCCCAATGTGCTCCCTCAGCACATTCTGCTCCCTCGGTTTCTCCTCCTCCTCTCTTTTCATCCTGCATCCTCTCTTTTCTGTGCTCTGTCCCTCTTCTTTCTTTTATTGCTACACTTCATTACTTCTATCCTTCCTCCTCTCTCTCTCCCCCGGTGCTCTCCTCCCACGTCCCATTTTTTTAAACTTCCCTCACAGGGAGGCGAGCCAGAAAATAAAACCTTTGATTTATCCACAGAGAATGGAAAAGACAGCAAAGTTTATTTGATCCTTCTGCACCACAAATATCAGGATCTTTATACAAAGTCACAAAGGTTGTATTTTCTTGCACAAGCTAATTATATGGAGTGTCATTTGTAAAGTTGCACAG